TTGAGTTGTATTCACAGGCAAGTTCAGAATGTATGGTTTCCACCCATCAAAATAGTACTTAAGTATAAGTGCAAAGCCTGACTTAAGCCACATGTCCATGCTGCTCCACACAAATACAGCTTCAGTTGTCTTGACATCACGGACATCAAACATGAAGTTTTCTGGTACCCGAGGTACTGAAAAAGAACAGCAAAAAAAAACCAAACAAACAAAAATTGAAAATCATTAAAACCCTTTAAGTTTTATATTTGTATCTTTAAATATAAATGTAATCAAGGCAAGGCTTTTAAGAATAAATGCAAAAGATTTAAAAAATATACTTACATTCATATTCACAAATATATGGTAGCTGTACATAGCAGAAAAATCCTGTGAAGAAATAGTCTGGGCCAGTGGGATCTCTCTGAAGGGCATAGCAGTCAGTTTGATTTTCTGGTATCATTGACAGAGATGAGATACTGTATTTTAGAAGATAAGGAGATCCATCTGTCCACAAGATCTGACCTTCATCCTAGATTAAATAAATAAATAAATAAATAAATACATAAATAAATAAATAAATACAAACCCAGATAATTTTGGATTATATTTATAAGTTAGTAAGGTTTCCCACATTGCAAGTGTATTTCTAAATATTCAAAAATGTATGTACTTCATTGATACAAGTCAATTATATAAGTATATTTTTAATAAAAGCTTCAATCTAAAATACCATCCCTTCTATTACAAAGATTACAAGATAATAGTATAACATAGCTTATATATATGGCTTATATTATAATATAATATAAACCATATGAGTATGGTTCATTATTACAAACAAGACTTTAAAAACCATTATTAATCAAATAACTGAATAATCTTGTATGGATAATTTTTTAAAAAGACTATTCACTTAAAAAATTACTCAGTCAAAAATACTCATAAATTGAGTCTGAAAACAAAAATATTTAGCTAAAAAAAAACTATGGCTAGATTCACACTCAGATGAGGAAATGTTTTCATATCCCAAATACAAGAAACAGGAAATATTTTA